ATAGACTTACCTCCACGTGGTGCACCGTGGGCAACGTATCCTCATACGGCAAAAAAGTCAATTAACCGGCAGCTGACTTCTCACTTCAAACCACCATCACCCCCCATTGTATTTCATATTCGACTACTTCCACAGTACTCATCTCACCTTTTTTCCACCTTTGTGTCTGTCTCTTTTATAACTGTAAATTACTCTTCTGTTCCCCACCCCTCCACTTCCTGTTACTTTGATGTTCCTTCCCCTGTGAAGCCCAAAGTCAGCTAAAGGGCTAATGATAACTATCAAAACGCCTGCCATTTGAAATGAATGAATGATTTAATATCAAGCTTCACCCTTTGCTTTCATTCCTAAGTACATTCGCTATAATTGAAAGCAGCGATGGGCTGTAAATTTTTAAATTTTGAGGTTCTAGACGGTGTTTGGAACATCCTCTTCCAACAGATTCAGATAATTCTGTATGAAATTTACGGATAGTGACCCAATCGGCAAATATTTTTACTTGGAATGACTAAGACATCTCGGTAGCCAATAAAAAAGAACAATAAAGTCTATTGGGCAGAAAGAACTACTCACAAAATGGTATTTCGTTACAACATTTGTGATGGTCGCAAACCTATGCCAACGTCGTGATAATAGTAATCTTTCATATTGCTCTAAAAAATGTTACTCGCGTGGGAAAAAAAAGTTGTACGTAAATTGATTCAAATAAAACGAATATTTAAAAATATCGATAAATAAGATTTTAATTTGAAGAAAAAGGAAGAACGAAATTAAATTACCACTGGTTCATCTTGGAAGAGCGATGCTTCAGTTATTGGCACAATTGGAGCGACCAGTAAATCGATATGCCCACCAAGAGATGACTGAAAATGAATGGAGAAAGTTGAATAATTGCCAATATCACAATGCTGACAAAGCATTTCATTACCACTAAGCAATCGATTTCATGCAAATACGATAGGCAAGAAGACACAAAATGACAATGAAATAGAAACAATTTAGCATGCCGTGTTACCTATATTGGTTAATGACACCTGTAAAAATGCAAGAAAATTATAAATGCTCCGGTTAACGTAAAGGTGTTCTCTGATCGCATACACACACCATAAACCACATGACTATGCGTGCACCGATTCGTTGTGTAAAATTTGATTAGTGATCAGAGATAAGATCCTGAACTTACCAGAATATAAGACACGTTGTCAATATCCTTGCCCATTAGATCGACTCCGTTTACAGAGAGCAATTCATCACCCTCATTTAAGAGACCTGTGCGTTCAATTAAACCACCACTGATAATTCGACCAATCACAATTGCAGAACCTTCGGAACGAACCGTCGCGCCCTATGGATTGAGGAATTAAAAAGGAATAGAGAAAATTACAAAGAAATCTTCATCCCTCTTTTGCAGTATAACATTCACTAGGGTTGTTCCATCAGGGGTCGTCACAGTGTGACCCTGATCGTCGACAGCTAGAATTTTATAGCAGCCCTCAACTGGACTGGGATAAACAGTTCGCTCTACAGTATCGTCTGTAGATAGTTCGTCATATGGAGGTTCATCTATTGGCCTGACGTCGTCCGACATTTCTGACCACACTCGAGCAACGTCATCGAAAGATGACAAAGTAGCCTACGAATAGGGAAACTTAGACAGATTTTAGAAATATGACTTACCACTAATTGAGGTTTGTGCAAAATTCTAAAGAGCTCATTCATAGCGGGGCTTCGTTCATTGCGAGGAATAAATCTAAGTTCATTTAATGTCTCATTCAATGATTTGATTGCCACAGCGTCACCCGCCCACCGATTCATAGGAAGGTCGCCCATTTTGGCACGAGTTTCCTCTAACGCTATTGCTAAGGTATCATGAAGCCGGAAGGCTTGCAGAACCGAGGTTCCAGAAACTTTATTTATTAGCCACTCCCATTCGCGATCACCAATATCATCAATATCTGAGTTCTCACCATTTTCAAGATCATATTTACTTAACTTTTCACGCAACTCACGAATAAAATCTGCGTAGTTTGTCGCCCTAAAAGCAAACGGCGTTTCTAAAACAATTGTTAGAGTTATAATAGGGCGTACCATTAACTGAATCTATTGACTCATTACTACGTGATGCAGCGATCTCCTTAAAATCCTTCGAGGCTTTCTTGGCCAGGGCTAAGGCTCGAAGCTTTTCTGAATGACGAAGAGAGCGTCGTAGAAATCGCTCCTCTTTGCGCTTTTGATCTTCGAGTTTCCTGCGCTCACTTAGCTGCCGGGCGTAATCACGAATGTCTGCAGCGGGCTGACTTTGTGAAGCATTCTGATCTGCTTAAGAATAAAATAGAAATAATAAATTAAAGACTACTGAAAAATGTAACTTTGTCATCTTGTGTATCCATTTCAGTGAAAATATTAATAACGGCAAAAGTATTGGATTGGAGAAGGAAGATGAAATGACCTACAAGCGATATATCTTGAAGGCCAACTATCGAAGAATCAATAGCTTATTCCAACAAAACGAATAATATACACAATCCATTATTTAATGCTTTAATCAATGTTTAAATGCATTTAGATCATTAATTTTTTATTTGAAATGAAATGTTAGAAACTGCCATTTTTATGAATCTCATTTCTGTCGTTTTCAAATGTATTTACACTAAACCATAACATTCTATTGGATATTTAAACTTTATGACAAATATTTACATAAATATTCTGATGGTCAACATAATAAATGTTTATAAAATCGTTCCACAAACAAGGTGTTGATTTTAATGAAATTATTTTTAAACACAAACTTCGAGCATATTCGCAGCGTTACGTACCTCCTTGACAAACGATCATTTAAATCATACCGATTGTCCTTTTTCACTCATCCCTGGCACATGATGGCTCAACTTTTGTATATATTTTTTTGCAAACATCAGCGTCTATATAACAATTTCCCCTTAGAGTTACTACTACTATTTGTCACTAAATATGACTTCCTTCGCAGTCCTTTTATTGCTCCTAAGTTCTGTAGCATTATTACCAGAAGCTAAGCTAAGGTTAAATCCTATCCCTTTTAACAAAAAGTAATAGCATGATGTTTATATTTTTGGCAAAATTTCGGCCATCGTTTTGTTTTAGGCTCTCAGACAAATGTGAAATCCGCTTCAAGTCCCGCATTTTACTTCAAATATTTCAGAAAATGGTGGCTGAAGGTCCATTTTTTTCTTAAATATGCCTTTAAATTATTTAAATTTGTATAATGGGAGGAGAATTTGAGTGACAAATGTGAAAAATAAAGGAAAAGTATTGAAATAAACATTTGATCACGAGAGAGGCCAAATATCAGTACCTATAGATTTGTTTGCAGCATTTACAATAATATTTTTTTAGTTACCTTATTGATTCGGGAGATGGGAGTTCAGTGTTTGATATAGGAAAAATGTGTAAGGAGAAAAATCTTTAAATACATATAGAATGTGCAGTATTGGAGCAAATAGCGACAAGTACTCGCTTTCTATAGAAAAGTATTTTTGTTGGTTGATAATATGCAATTATATCTAGTTATTGATATTTTGATTGATATTTGTCGGTTATTATTGCATTTAGCATAATGATTAAGCTCTTTTAAAATAAAATAAATCAAGACATTTTACCGAAGTATAAAATTTAATTGATTATGTATAGACATCTTAATCTAAATCAAGTTTACAATTTATGAGCTCTTCGCAAGATGGTATTTACCAACAAGAATTTTATTCGATTGAATATCTTCGAACGCCGTATCATTTACCTATACATTGTGAGTTACGGTTGAGGATTATATAGATCTTAAGCAACGCACTCTACAATAATGGCCTTGAAGAATATTCATTTTCCTGAGTAACTTTTCACGAATGTTACTTTGATAATTCGTGCGTCGCTGGAAATTTCATTTATTTTCGCCTCCCATCCTAGTTCGTTAGCAATGACAATGAGGATTTTAGGTTTACTATTTGGTAATTTTCAACACTTCTTAGGTAATATTAAGGTAATAATTCATTTGCTTATTAATTATTCGCTTCCCTGATATAGACTCTTTTATCGATCACGGAAGCTTTTCTTATCGAACCGGATTAGTTTCATGAGCAAATTGCAATCGAAATTTTAGCAATTTAATTCTGAATAAATTCAGTAAATGCCATATTCCTCTTATCATAATTTATCACTGAGCAAGTTTGATTTTCGTAATTGTATATAATCTTTCAACTGAGGTTTAACTAGTGAACTAGTTACCATAAATAAAGCCTTTTATTAATAAACTGTGAATTTTAAATATTTAGTTCAAAAAGCCTATTAATATATTATTATAAGTTGTAAATAACCAATGAAAATGCATGCTTTATTTGGGCTAAATAAAAATGACATGATAATTACTTATTGAGTCATTAGTTAAATGTATTCTCAAAATTTTATATTTCTAATTTTAAACTGGAGTGCTAATTGATTTTTAATAACCTTGTATGAATACGCAATTCGCAATAAAAAATATATACAAAGCTTCTTAACAGTATTTCATTCAATATGTGTGTTAAAATTTAGCTGTTTGATTTTTTATTAATCTTCAACTTATTTCGATTCGCAAGGGCATTATCACATAACCAGCGCAGAGTACAAAATATTTGTCCTAGTCGCTTGAAGGCTTAATGGTGTGGGGTCATTTATCACGAATGCTTCATTAATTTTTCATGTTTTGTGTATCACAGGATCACACTCTTGTTTAAGCTTTATTAAAGCCTTGCCCAAGCCATTTATCTCCAACATTTATTTTCAAAATTAGATGCAGAGAAACGCAAAACAGGCTCCCATGATAGCAAATAGGGACAAAAGTCAACCATGGTCGGGTATACCTAAGCGTGGAACATCTACTTTAAATGATCTCGAGGTTCGGGTTTGTGCTGCTGAGAAGATTAACCATCAAATACTGGATGATATTGCTGAATTAAGACGTGGACTCAAAGTGGGCACCGTTGGCTATAATGGTATGCTTTCACAATTATCTAAAATCTTATGCGATTACCTTGCATGTGGCTCTTATAATGCGCTATTTTTCAGAACATATGTCTAGAACTGGTCTTAGTGATGATGTTGATTCCGATGTATCTGTGGTACAAGACTCACCAAACCCAAAAAATCAGCCACGAAACGCTAGACCCTTGTAAGTTTTTTCTTTAATATTTCACAAAAATTTCCGACTATTATAATTATTAAATAGGTATAACTTTTGATAAATATTAATAAATTAACTTAAAAGATGTTCATAATTACTTCATTTAATATTAATTTTTTTCCCTCTTTAATAGACACACAGCAGAAGTACGCTATCCACCAAATGTATTCAAAATACTGCAAAAATTAACAGCAGATGTGCAAGATGTTAATTCACGTTGTGGAAATCAAGCAAACGATATCCAGAACGTCTACCAAGAATTGAAAAATTTTGAAGCAAAGTTGAAGAATATTATGCGAAATGAGTTAAGAACGATGCAAAATGAAACACCAGTTAACTCTAATTCGCCTAAAACTCACAAGGATCCTGCACTGGAACTTGTTGAAGCCTCAATTTCGCAAATGCAATCTGATTTGAAACGGATGCATGGTGATCGACTTCGATTTGAGAACAACGTTCACAATAGGTTATAAAAATCCGTTATTAAATCTGTCTAACCATAATGCCCATGGTAAAATGACAATTTCTTTATATTGATAGTCTTCTAGATCAAACAACACGCACTGGAGAAATCGAGAAGTTCACCAAGGAATCGGTTGCTGAAATTCGAGCACTCCTGAGAGATAACGCGCAGGAGATCATCTCCATAAGGTAAAATGTACTTTGGTAATTATTGAAAGGAAGGATTTTTTTCCACAAGGTAACTGTTTGGCTGTCGGCATTATATGTTTAGTAAATAATATTTGTTGAAGGTTGTTTGAAATTTGTTTTTATTTTTAATGTTTGATTGAGTTTGAATATTCCTAGAATAATATTTACCAATTTGTCAGAAATTGACTAGCTCACTAAGAATAAAAGTTATGCCATTAGTTAGCTGAACACTAACTTAATGATAGCGTATTAGCGAATGGTTGGTAGCTAACAGCAACTAAACACCAAGAGTTTAGCAGAAGCAATATGACAGGGGGGGGGGGAGTGGACATGAGTAGAAATACAAGGTCGAATTTTCGCGTGTCATTTGGGCAAAGGAGCGTCTGAGAGTTTGGGTGCGGATGTGATTTTAATTGAAACGGGTCAGTTTCACAGAAAACAATAAAATCAATAAGCTTACAAAGACGCTGGGCAAGTAATGGCTTGCGTCATAGGGTTATCAAGGCATGACAACAGCAGCTTCGTGAACGAAATAACCAACCCTCACCATATGAAATGATTTTGGAAACGCATGATAAATCGTCTTGCACTGATTTTCCTCCCTATAAGCCGTTAGTGATTAGCCAGCTACAGTTTCTTCTTAGATGCATATTCCCAAAAACATTTCAGACAGGGTGTTAAGTCAGAACTGGAAGATATGTCAAACCAGCTTAATCTACGAGTGAACACCGCTCTGGAGAAGATCCAAGATGATCTTGCAAATTCTCGAACAGATATTGAAGCAGTAAGGCATATATACTATCATATTAATGAAAAGCAAAAACTTTGTTTTATTGATTTACTGATATTTGTGTGTGTTTAAGGCATTAGGGCGGTTTAGTCTAGCCAATTCTGGGTACGAAACCCGGTTAGCGGAGATTGAAGATGGATATAGGAAAATGACCAAAACTTTACCCGACGAATTGAATGAGATTCGTGAGGAACAGCACGTAGGTGTTTATTGTCCCCTTTCTCATTACGCATGAAATGCGCATACAATAGGCTCATCAGAAGAGACTTCTCAACTCCCTTGCCCAGTTGGATCTTGCTGTCGAGGGTTTGGAACACGGATTATCGGATGAGAAGGAACAACTCAAAGGTGTCGTTGCGGCCGAGATAAAAGCAAGGTGATTATCTCATCTCATCTTTTCCATTTTACTTAAAGCCAATTTAACATGTATTTAAGTAACAAGATATATTTAAATTATAGGTATTTGCTGTTGCTGGAAAATTAATATTAAAACCCTTTAATGTGAAGTAAATTAGCTATTCACGAAAATTTTGTGAAAGAAATAAATGCTCACCATCATCACTATCAAATGAAATCGCATTTGTGGTTTTATATTTGCATTAGTATTATAGAAGAACAAGTTACCGTTGTTTAAAACTGTCGTTCCATTTGGAATATATGCCGTAAACAATATATAAAGACAACAGAAAAAGATTTATTTCAAGCCTTTTGACCTTATAAAAGTATCTACATCAAATGGCAGGCGTTTTGATGGTTACCATCCGCCCTATAGCTGACTTCAGGCTTCACAGAGGGGAAGATACATCAAAGTAACAGAAAGTCGAGAGGGGGGGGGGAACAGAAGTATTTCAAAGATGTAAAAGAGACAAACACAACGGTAGAAAAAGGTGAGGTGAGAACTGTGGAAGGGGTCGAATATAACATACAGTGGAGCGATGACAGTTTGAAGTGAGAAGTTTTTATTTATAACAAATGGCAGGCGGTTTGATAGTTATCATTAGCCCTTTAGCTGACTTTGGGCTTCACAGAGGGAAGGAGGAACATCAAAGTGAGAAGAATTCAGGAGGGAGAATAGACGGGTGTTTCAAAGATGTAAAAGAAACAGACACAAAGGCTCAGAAAGGGTAAGATGAGTAGTGGCAGGGGTCGAATATGACATACAGTGGGGGTGATGGTTGTTTGAAGTGAGAAGTTAACTGCCGGTTGATGGACTTTTTTGCCGTATGAATATACACTGCCCAGGGTGCACCATGTGGAGGTAAGTCTATCGCACACCCCACCTTATAAATGTAATTGGTAACAATTTAATGTTAGTTATTATCTTTTCTTGATTGAATTAAACATTAGCTGGCCGATGAAGTTTTATTTATTTATATATCAGTATAAATTTTTCCAGTACTTAACTTTCTATTCATTTAAATTGTTACTTTAATTGGGAGTTTAGGCAAATTCAATTGTTTCTCAGAAATGGGAATTTTTAAAAGTTTCTTTCAACAATGTAAATGTATATGCTTTATTTGATAAAAAAAATAGGCTAGATTGGGTGCTTTTTACAGTCCGATAAATGCATAAATATTTTTCTTTGTTTAAAATTGTAGAACATCGAATATTCAGTCGATGCAAACGAAGCTTCAAGAACTTGAAGAAAATCTCAACAATATTTCATTAAAGCTGAACTCGTCCATCAAAGAGGTACAAGAGAGAGCTGGCCAACGGTCAGATCAGGTTAGTTACTCACTGGTAGCGCGTCCCTAACTTCCTCCCATTTTAGCCAAAATGTGGGCTTTTAGAAGCATTGCATGCAATGCGAGAAACCTTATGTTCAGAGGAATGGAATTAACTTAAGTCAGAGTTTGAATTGCTCATAACCTTACTTTCAAACTCCCCAGAAAATTTTCTGCCATTGTTTCTTTTACAACAAAGTCCAAGTAGTGACCATGACAACACATAATGAGAGTATCATCTATTGTTACATGGCCTAAGCGTAGCACAAGAATTGCGATGACCAGTAAATTTGTTTAAGAGCTTCCTTAGAAAAGTTGTTGTTTTCGAAGGTTTTCTATCGATCTGGGTCAGCCAAGCCAAGTAGAACAACAGCTAATGCTACAAAAGTGTGGTTTGTAGAGGATTGCTACCTTAGTAAATCTCTATGGCAGATTCTTCAACATCTAGCCTGACTCCCAGAACCAGCTAAGCTATTGCCCAGCTATGAAGGAAACAGACGTGTAGCACGGAGCACGTTTATTCAGGACGTATATTGCGGATAAAGTGTACACACAGGAAGCTTAATCATGATCAGGATGGCGGATTAGGTTAAACAAACAGAGGTTAATGATTGGTCACTGTTTGTACGGTCGCACCTCCCAATCCCTGGCGTGCAGACATGCGATGACGTGTCCCACAAGTTTTAAACATTGCGTGCTGCATTAAAAATTTCTTTAAAACAAAATTTAATAACATTGTTCAGCGAAAAAAACACGGCGAATGAATGTATTGACAAAATAGTAATTGACCTTCAAACTAGTTTGTGTGGAATATTCGCTTTTAGATTGTCCGTCAATTACAGTGTTCGTGTCTGTACAACTTATTATAAAGTGTGAATTTCTGCTAGTTAAAAATTGCCCATTCATTCTTGCGGTTTTTTATCCCTGTAATAAAAATTGCAGATTTAAATCTCCCAAGTATCAGCTTCACTTTTATTCCTGTTTGTGGATAGAAAATTCTCACCTTTCAATAATTGTAGCTATATTAGGAAAGGTTAGTATTAACAATTTAGCACTAGAAAAATAACGCTTGTCAATTTATGAACTTCCATATTTGCAGAGATTTGCTTACTTGCTCACAATTTTTGTGCCGCCTTAATAGTATCATGTTTACTGTGTTTGTAAATAGACACATTATGCCTTTCTTCAGATATTTATTTATTTATAACAAATGGCAGGCGTTTTGATAGTTGCCATTAGCTTTTTAGTTGACTTCAAGCTTCACAGAGGGGAGGAGAAACACCAAAGTGAGAAGAATTCGGGAGAAGGAATACAAGAGTGATTCACAGAAGTAAAAGAGACAGAAAGGCTCAGAAAGGGTAAGATGAGTACTGTGTAGGGGTCGAATATGACATAGAGTGGGGGTGATGGTTGTTTGAAGTGAGAAGTCAACTGCCACAATGGGGTCATGGTAGTTTGAAGTTAGAAGTCAACTGCCTTTAATAGACTTTTTTGCCGTATGAGTATACGTTGCCCAGCGGTTTATAGACTTTTTGCCGTATGAGGTCACGTTTCCAAGCCATTTAATAGACTTTTTTGCCGTATGAATATACGTTGCCCAGGTTGCACCACGTGGAGGTAAGTGTATCCCACACCCCCTAATCTTCAGATATAAACCCATTTAAATCAATTTAGTCTTTGTCTGCACACTTTCATATAACAGCAATGAAGTTAACGAGTCCTTTGTTTTAGAGTGTTCAAACAAGCCTTCAAAATATCGCTGAGGCATTGCAAGCTGTTAAGGTTGGCTTACTTGATAGAGTGGAAAAACTTGAAAAAGAGGTAAGTTCCAAATGTAATCATGCGAATCCCATCTTTTTGATAAAATTAACAGATAATTAGACATCATTTATTCTAAAGAAAAGCAAAATTAGGAGCATGTTTTTTTGTATTATTAATGTATTTACAAAATGCTTTCTTTTTTCATAGATAAATTTTTTATGTTTTATTCTTTCCCCTTTGCAGACAAATGGAACGGTGAATCGACTGTCACGTGGAATAAAAGACTTGAAAGAGAAGTTCGAAGCAACTGAAAATAACAAAAGCGGGGATAGTCAATCTCAAAGCCAATAGTGACATTTGGAGATGCCAGACAATAATTTGCATCTCAACCAAACATTTGCACTGCACCAGTTGTCAACAGATGTAATACTCTTTAATTTATTAATTAAAAAAAAGATGAAAAGGCCAAACGAAGCCCTTTGAGATTTTATGGAAGAGTTCTTTGTTGCCCCTACAAAGTTGTGAATTATTTTTAGCAATATGTAAAATGACTATCCAACTATTTCTCTAAGCCTCTCAAATAACAAAGAAACACAAAAAATCATATTTGTATATCATAGGAAATGATGTGTTGCTCGAAAATCTAAGATGAGATGAGAATTAAGGCAAAGATGGGGTGACAAAATTTGCTTCGTGCCTCGACGGGGATAATGCCAATATGATTTATTTAAATAATAAGATTGAGTCTGTATGCAAGACATATTTTGTGTGATATATAAATGAATATATGTTAAAGGTTTCTTATTAATACGAATAATAGCGTGCATTTTGAAAGGATGCGTTCGCCTCTGACCAATGGTATTAATACAAATTACATGAAATTATATCAAAAGGATTTAAAAATACACAAAGCTATACTTATAATTTTATATAGAGTAGCTTGAAAATGGTTAACAAATGTATTATATTTGTAGGGGCTCCCTCAAAACCTAAAAAACACTGAAATATTTGGTAAAATAAAAAGGAGTGTGAAGGCTAATTTTTCGCAGCAGATGATTTCGTATTATAGAGGATTACAAATATTCTAAAAGAATTCGTATATCTGAAGAAAATATAATATTTAAATACGATTTTTTATTTGCAAGTCAGTCGAACTTTATTATCTACCTAAAGAAATAAGATCTCTGCACTTCAGAACAGCTCTTAAATTAAGGAATCAGAAACTACCGTTATTACTTCACATTATTGTTACATTACATTAGTTATTGGCTAAATTATTCATAATTTTATCTGATTACAAACATATAAATATCTAAATGTCGTTGACATAGTTGTTTACAAAAAGTAATTCGAACGTACAGAAATAAAAATCCAGAATTATTATAGAATAACTTAATTACTCTGTAACGGAAGTCATTAACGAATTTTCTGATTAAGAATATGCTAATTATTTATATAATAGAATTAATTATTTTTCAAGACAAATTTGATTCAGGCTAATGTTATTAAGCTAGTAATTTAAACTCGACATAACTGAAATTTTGAATAAAATTTTTAATTAAAAATAACTACTTCGACCTTAAAGTTTTGTTTAGTTAGGCACGATTGACCCGCGTTATTTTGATTACTTGGGGTTAGGAAGTAAAATAGTATTTTCTTTCCCCATTATAATGAGTATCCTTTACTCAGCAGTTTGCTGTGGATCACGTGTGTTATGCGAACAAGCGATTGGATCGATTGATTATGGGAAGGCTGTCCGGACCCAGCTAGAAAACTCGGTACAGGAATTTATTACTTGTCCTTTGGAGGGGTGGGTTCGTTACCCATTGTTGATGGTTTCCTTTTAGTCGAACTTACAGTTGTTATACATTCAATGGTATCAGTTATGTTGCCGTTACGTCTATGTCTACTTCTCAACAACAAACTCTTAACTTCCTCAAAAGTGTAATTTTTCTTTATTACATATTTTATTTTTTTTAAGTTTGTTCCTTTGGATTTCATTTATATCATTTGCTTATATTTTATAGATATATGCTGCGTTTACATCTGACCAATCTAGAGTTTTGGAAGCTCAGTCTGGTTCTGAACATTGTCATCAAGTCGATTTCGGTCGAACTTTATCTGCAATGATGGTATCTTACACTTTCCGTTGTCGCTATTATCATTTATAAATTACTTAATTTTAAAAATTGCTCCATTTCCTAAGGCGGACTTTAACAGTCAATCAGCAACGCGTTTGATGGATCTTAGAAACCAAGTTAATGATGTTACTCTTATTATGCAACAAAATCTAACCGATCTGAATGAACGTGAAGATAAGTTGGACGATCTCTTTGGCAAAACCGATCAATTTCGAGACCAAGTAAGCATTTAATTTTTTTTATTTTGACTGTACTCTTGCGAGTTAAGAATTTTTTTAATAACTTGGTTTCATTGTAAAACAGAAAGATGTTATGAAAACCAGAAAAAAGAGACCTTTCATATTTGGGTCTTTGGCTAAGCGATTCTCAATAACACTGAATACATTCGTATAAAGCACTCAAATAACCATACAGCATGAGCATTCAAAAATTATTTCCTAAAATGAGATTAATCGATGGAGTTCGAAGTATTCATACCTGACTTGTCTCTTATCCCACTCGATTTTGGCCCACGTAAGAGTTAAAATCGATTTGTGCTTTACTTTCAGGCTGAAATGTTCCAGAGTACTGCCAAGCGAGTGAAGGATAAGACATTCTATGAAAATTGCCGAATGCGTATGCTATTATTTGGATGCGTTTTTGTCATTGTTTTAATTATCGTGTTGATCATTCTTTGGCAAGCTGGTGTCTTCGGTTGAGCAATGTAAAACTCCCCCCTCCCAACTCCAATTTGACCATCCAACTTTCCGCATATTCATTGGCTGTGATTAAGCAACATGTACCGTCATATCATTGCACCCCCCCCCCCCCCCCCCCTCACCCCAGATTTCACATTACTTTACTGTTTTATTTTAATTTACTGTTTTCTTATAACTTTTGTGGAATATTAGGGTCTTTAATCTTTAGTCCGATTTATGTAGATGCTAAATATACGAGAATGGGAGTTTAAATTACTTAAACTATATTTTAAATCCTACTAAAAGGATTCCATATTGAGAGGAACAATAGTTCATGAAAAATCTTCAATTTTATGCAGATGTGGCATAACAGTGATAGTAGGTTAGGGTAATTATATTTCATATTACGTCATCACTAAAACTCTTAGTTGTGGAGGTCGATAACCCAATTACTCACTAGTTGAAAATCGATAAAAATTTAACTTGATCTTATTGATTGGAATGGTCGGAGCAAATAAAATGCCACCAAGTGATTTTCTCGGTTGTAATTCCGCGCATGGATAGATCGATACAAGTAGGGTGTGCATTTTCCTCGTAAGTGTGCAATAAGGCGAAACTTGAGGCTGGGTAAGATGTAACATACAGCTTCTCACATGCTGCCTTAGCACGTACTCATGATGCTCAAAGCTTACGTAAAGCGCACGACAGCCCATAAATCGTACGTGGATCTCCCACTTAATACACCCTAATTTAATGTGAAACGCACTGAAAGTGAACGATCTCACCCCCACCCAGCCTCTATCATTAATCTCGGGAAAGTCACTTTATCCAGATTTCATTCATGCCACCTCCTTTTTTTAAAGCTTATTTTGAAAGAACTCTCCCCTCCAGGATTCAGCTATTTTAACAGACGTACCAAGAACGTAATATCTTACCAAACGTTAAATAAAATTTACGCTTACAAAGAGAGAGAGAGAGACTGAGGTTAGAAACAAGTGGTTAACGGGTCAATACTTTTGGCATATAGAGAAGAGTTTACAATTTATTTTCACGAAGGGCATTATGGATGACATTACGGCTTATTACTATGTGGCATTTATAAAAGAGGTTAGTTTTGACCGTACAGATATGCGAGAAACTTCACTTGGTTACCTGAATTTGCGTAGGAAAGATGAGTAATAAAAAGTAGTCCACAGTTACCTAACACTATTTGAAATTTTCTCAAGAAAAGATAATTCTCAAATTTAATTTTTGGCTAACGCAAGCAGTTCATTTAGTGTCGCTGTTAGGAGTTCATGTACTTTGAATGACGTATCTATCAAGGGCGTGCATTTTAAGGATTATTAAAATCGTTCGGTTTGGGGGTAGGGGATATTTTTATTGATTAGAGGAATAAAATTCCTGTTCCGAGCAAGTGATTTTACAACGTGTGCAGTCATTAACTTTTATATACTCTCTCAGAAACAAATACATCGATTGAGTCCCAGCCTGACGACCGAATTATTGGCGTATTTGTCTTCGGGAAGAAAGCATATCATAAGTGAAATTTCATTTGAGGAGATATTACACCATACGAGCACATATCTTGGATTGTTGAGGTGAATGACTTGTGGTAGCACAGCATTACTACGATTCTAATTGCAGTTTTACAAATTTGAGTTACAAGGTACTCTTCATAACCTTAGAACATGTTCAATTCTAAGTAAATCTAGACGGTTTCTGTGACAATGAGAGTTAGGCACTGACCTGATGGAAGTTGATCTCACAATATTACTGAGGTCCTGAAACAGGAGTGGCCTTGAAGCCGATCTACTCATTTCCTTTTTGGCATGACACGCCTGCAGTGTTGGTGGAGCGTATCGGCATTTTATTGAAAAAATTAAGGAATGTCATATTAGAGGTGACTAATTAATGAAATTTAACGCCCTTCAGGTTTTACCACGTTAGCCTTACCCCACACACTGACATTGCTCCTGTTCACGTGATCCATGCTCAGGTTTTCACTCCATAGCCGGTCAAAGAATGACTCACCCTAGAATGATCTTTGTAAACAAGCATTATTTTACTCCGACAAAATAAAGGGGCACTATTTGGCAAATAGAAATTTATAATTTGCCTTGAAGTTTTTTTTTAATAGCCTTTTGGTAAACATGAATGAAGGTAGCCTCTAAACATAAATTTTTGGGGCCTTAGTATTATTGTAAACACTTTGCTCATCTGTCATTAAATTGAAACTAATGGTGCTGCATATTTACAAACCGTGCGTGCCAATTTGTACATTGTATGACGAAAAATTGTGCCATGCCAAACTATTTATTTGGAAGGTTGAGAAGCTTGGCTGGAGGCAATGATGAAGTCCTCTAAGTTCAACTTAAGATATTTTGGAGAAAAGGAAATAGGTTTGTCGCATTCGACTGTTGGTGGGGGGGGGGGGGGGGGGGGGGGAACATATATATAGCAGTTCATTAACAGCAGTTCATTGGTTGTCTTCTGGCTTCCCAGTATCTCGGGGTTTCCGTCGTTATCTTTAAGGCTGGACATCGAATCAGGTGGGTCTTTCCCATTACCTCCTTTAGGTTACATAGGGGGGGCATGTTGGTTGAGTGTATACTCCTAAACTGTGAAGGTGTTTTGCCAGCCAATCGTGTCCGGAACGAAGTCTAAACTCAGCAACGGCTTCGATTCTTAGCTAGTCGGCTATGTCGGAGAGTGCCGCTGTCCACTGTTTCTCCTTTGTTTCCACTGTCCACTGTTTCTCCTTTGTTCGAGCTTTAAGTTCGTTTCACCTTGAGGTCTTGAATTCTCTTCTGGTTAAGTTCTTCATATTTTGGAAAATACTTACTCTCATAATGTAATACTTGTCGAAAAGGCAGTTTGAACATTAATATTCATTGTAAGAAATTTTGGACAACTTAAAGGATATCCTATGAGAAGTGACCTGTGTTTGGACACTACCAAGAGGGATATGCTGTCCACTAACTGTTGGGAAACTATGCATGAGTATACGTGGAGGTAATGAAGAGATCTCTTCATTATTCGACTTAAGGCTATGCCCAATGCCTTATAATAATGATACGGAATCCCGAACTATCTTGTCAAGGGAATAAGCTTACGAAAAGAATTTATTTAGAAGTTACAAATTTAGAATAGATTTATCGATTTAATAATCAGGCGGTTTAAGTTGAATGACTTTGACTTTGGGGTTGGGGGGGGGGGGGGGGGGTGGCGCAGAGGAATAACAAAACAATTAATTAATTAAAATCGATACAAACGAAAATAACCCCCCCCCCCACCGAGTGGATTTATAACCTTGATGTGAACAGAGTTCAATGATAAGACAATGACGATGAACAAAAGTGCAATTAGAAACCGATTGTGGTCTATTTTGTCTTTTCATTCAGGAGATTGAAAGTTTGATAGAAGGAATTAATTGGAATAATCCATATGATGTTTGAATATAATGATCGAGAGTCGATTTTTTGAGAGGAATTCACTGAATCACATCGGATATCGTTCACATGGGTTACTTATTTTGTTAATTCATCATTAATCAGATAGGTGTACTGAGGAAAAAATTCATTTTAGAAAATTCCTGTATGGGAAAAAAATTAGCTTTTTCGTCACGCTGACATTGATGCCTACTTACAAAGGCTTGTTAATTACCTGTGGAAAAATTCGCTTTGATAAATAAACTTACACAATTCTTAATTTGCGCTAACTGACGTTCAATATAGAAAGTAAATTATTCTCTGAGGATTAGAAAAGGGAATCTTTGGAAATATGCAGAGACCACACTTCTTAAAGCAATGAAAGGCTGTCGAAACAGTAAAAAAGGTAAATATTTCCTTGGATTTACTCGAGAAATCTGACAATGTCACGTTTTCCAAGGTCATAGGGAAAGTGGTATAAGTATTTTGGAGCCTATTTGGAAATATTTATATCAAATGCAGGCGTTTTGATAGATACCATTAGCCCCTTAGTTAACTTCAGACTTCACAGAGGGGATGCAGCATCAAAGTAAAAGAAAGTCGAAGAGTGAAGAACAGAAGAGATTATCAAAGACGTAAAAGAGACAGACACAAAGGTAGAAAAAAAGGTGAAGCGAGAACTGTGGAAGCAGGGGAATATGACATACAGTGGGGTCATGATAGTTTGAAGTCAGAAATAGACCGCCGGTTTATAGACTGTTTTGTCGTACGAGTACACCACGTATCTGAGTTATATAACGTGTATTAAATATGAATAAAATTGGTCTTCATTACTAGGCGAAGTTATTGTGAGTCATCCAAGAGTTTAGTATCCCTAATGGAAACAAAAACGTAGAATAATGGTCATTGTTTAGGTCAAGCTATTTAGTCATCTTAATGGAGTTTCATTTGATTGGATTTTACGTTCATGGGCAAGGGGTGTGTGATAGACTTGCCTCCACGTGGTGTACCTTGGACAACGTATGTTCATAGGGCAAAAAAAGTCTACACACAGACAGTTGACTACTCGCTTCAAACCACTATCGCCCCACTGTATGTCATATTCCACAACTTCAACAGTACTCACTTCACCTTACCTTTTTCTCTACCTTTGTGTCTGCCTACTTTATATCTGTGAATTGCTCACTTCTGTTCCCCCTCTCGACCATTTGAGCCTTCGATGTTCCTCCTCCCTGTGAAACCCGAAGTCAACTAAAGGGCCAATGATAACTACCATAAATTCTGCTATTTGAAATAAATAACTGTTCATGGGCAAGGTGGCTGTACTCCACTCATTTTGCACTCTTTACTTCAACATCATAATTTCATTTTTTTTCATGAATCTTAAAGAATTCACCAAGCAATAAATATTATGTTTCTCAGTAAAGATCCATTTTGACCACACCTCTGGGGTCTATTGCGTTCGTGTACTCTAAGTACCCCAATAGTTCAGAACTAATTGTTCGCTACTCTTTCACGCCCTATGAAGTAGAATGAGTACAATATTATCTTGTAAGAAACTAGATATAATCTAACAGATGACGCACAAGTTTC